AAAGATTTCAACTTTGATTGAGAAAAGCTATGTGAGTTTCTTGCTTTGCTCATAGCTTTACTTGGAATATATAATAACTGAATGTTTTTTTACTGTCTACTAGCACTAGTTGTTTTTGTTATGGCATATGCTGAAGGATATAGAATGATAACAATATTTCATAAAAGCTTTTGATTAATTTGAAATGCATATAGTACAAGTGAATCTTGTGATGGTATTTTGCAGGGAGATGATCCAGCACAGGCCTTACACTCAGAAGGTTGATGTGTACAGCTTTGGGATCGTGCTATGGGAGCTGTTGACTGGTATGGTCCCGTTTCAGAACATGACAGCTGTACAAGCAGCGTTTGCCGTTAGGAACAGAGGAGTGAGACCATCATTGTCTTCCTGTTGCAGGCCTTGCTGTTAGCAATCCACATACATATATTGTGACACCCGTCACTTTGAAACCAATAATAATAAATAATAATCGCCAAATAATAATAACATAAGTTTCATTACCAAATACTGAAAAGTCAACATCCACGTCGGAAATCCGCAATACAACATAATATCCGAAATATAAATAACATGAACCGAAAGTCTGAAAATACGAAATGACATATGCGATAAAAGTCCAAAGGCTTATAAGCCCAATAAGGATAAAATACGATAAAATATAATAAGATAGGATAGTAGCCCCAAAAGCCCAAATAGCACTGGTCCGATAGAATCACTCCTGCTCATCGGTCTCACCTGCAAGGGGGAAAAAGAAGGAGGGGTGAGCAACAGGGGAGTCGCTCAGTGAGGTATGGGGTGCTAAACCTCAAACCACTGACTCAGTTCATAGCACTACAACTATGTAGGCCTAACTCTAGCATGTAACAAACACGGTGTCTGATACACCTCACCGAACAACAATCAATGCGCTAATAGCACAAAGCTACTCTCTGCACCACGCATTTCCACATAGGGATATATATATATACTCGAAGCGTCGCGAGTACAGTCTGTCTCTGTACCCCCGCCCATTGTAGCGTCGAATGCAAACGTCTCTGCATCACGCCCCACGCAGTAGCGTCGAAGCTCAAACGTCTCTGAACTCACGCCCATACACCGTAGCGTCGAAGCTCAGACAGCTCTGAACTCACGCCCAATACACCGTAGCGTCGAAGCTCGGACATCTCCGAACTCACGCCCCACGCATAGCCCCTACTAGTAACTATGTATATACATATATATATAACAGTGCTCAGCATCAATCATCTCATACAACCGTTGAATCCTCTATTATCCTATATCCGGTTTAGCAGTCAATAATGATAACTACACAAGCAAGAATCTCAAACAGACTCGATACATAGAGACGGAACATGTTTGGAAACTAGACTTTTCATAATAATAGTACTAAACTAGTTCGGGGTTAAATCGGAGTAGCCCTCACCTTAGCAATGAAGAGAAGTGGTATCTATGGTCTCCAGGTGCTCAAATAGACTCCAAATCTGAAACCAGGGCGAAAAATCGAGTCAGAACGGCTTTCGAACGGTTTAAAACGGTTTTCGGATGGATTAGACAAAAAGTCAACTCGCAGGTCAAAGTCAACCCGGTCAACCCCTGACCAGAAATCAATTGACTTAACCAAATCGGTTTGACCTTAACCGATTTCGAATTGAATTGAACCAAACCCCAATCGATTTCAATCTGGTTTTCTCTTAACCAAAACCAATTAATTTAATTAACCGGTTTAACCCTAACCGATTTCTAATTGATTTTAACCGCCGGTTTAACTAACCAAACACTAACCGACAATAACCAGCCTAAACCGGTTGACCGAGTCAACGGTTGACTCGCTGAGTCAACCCGGCCGAGTTGACCGAGTCGCCGGCGAGTCACCGGCTCCGGTCACCGGTCCGGCGAGGAGAGACGGCGGCTTACCGGCGGATCTCCGGCGGCGGCGGCGGCGGCGGCGGCTTCCCGGCGGCGGACGGACGACGGCCGGCTGCGGCGGCTCCGGCGACCGGCGGTCGGAGATGGAGGCGTGTGTGGCTCACGCGCGGCGGAGGCGGCGTCGCGTCGGTGGCGCGTGGACGTCACGCGCTCCAGCGGCGAATCTTTGGAGGGCGCGTGCGGCTTCGTCTGAGGTCGGATCGCGGCGTTTTCGGGGTCTACGGCTTCTTCTCGACGAGTAGAACACGGTGGTAACCTTGCATTCGCGAGATTCTCAACGGTTAGGAAGTTATGGTCGATTTACTAAACGTATCATAACTAACTCGAAAAAGGTGGTGGTTTCCGGGATTACCTAGGCTGGGGGTCGGTGGTGACGAGCTCGGTGTGTTCCTTGCGTGTGGTGGCTCCGGCGACGAGTTCTGGTGGCTCCAACTCTGCATGCAAACACCAACACTTCTCTTTCTTAAACTCTCTCCCTCTTTCTCTAACTCTCTCTTTTTTTTTTTTTTCTTGGTTGCAGGTGAAGAAAACAAAGCTGGAGAATTGGTATTTAAAGAAAATACCTTGGGCTTCTACAACTGGGCTTTCGCCTTGGACCAATTCGATGGGCCAGAAGATGGGTCATGACATATATGTTCTCTGCTGGTGATGACAAGCAAGTCAAATGCTGAGACCTTGAGCAGAATAAGGTTTCTTATAACTCTTCTCTCTTCCTTGCCTGGACTGAGCTTTGTTTTTCTTTTATGCTAACAAACAAGTGATTGCTTATGTTTTTTTTGTGTGTGTATAGAGGATCACCACTGTTTTGGATTGGTATTGGGGGTGGCCTATGAGCTTTGTTCTCATGGGTGAGTAGTATGATGATTAGCGTTTATTTCTTTTCCCTTTGTTCATATTCCTTTTTGCTTCAGTATCAAATAATACGTATCTGATGTTTTTTTTCTGATGAAATTATAGGCAACTTCAAGCATAAAGGTACCAGTTACCGGACACTTTATTCTGTTATCTAGTGTGTAGTGTATAGTGCTTAGATATAGTATTCATTAGATTGGTTATCGTAACAAGGTGAACTGTTTAATCACACTTTTTGAACTCTACAATTTAAGCGTGGAATCATTTGCATCTCTTTTGTTTTGGGTAGTCAGTTGATATAAACCTGCATACCGCTAAGGGCTTTTAGTGGTGCAATTCAGATACATAGACCTATAATCGTTTTTGTAACTATTTGATTGTAATATATTCCACATTCTCAATGCTTTCTCTCATTATTCTCTAACTGATTGTTGATCTCTGTGGACATTTTTTGCTTTGGTTTCAAAAATATGCAATGCAAACAGCTATGAAGACAATGATGAACCTCAGTTGTTACAAAAAAATCTCGTAACTGAAGGATTGAAAATGATGTATCAGATCAAATAGGACTGACACCAGAAGAAGTCATCTCTAAGATAATGAAGAACCCTGATGTTGCAATGGCATTCCAGAATCCTAGAGTCCAGGCAGCGTTGATGGAAGTACGTTTTCTTCTTTCACTTGAATGAAAACTAAGGTTTATGATATGATCTCCTTCAATTTGATTATGGTTGTTAACAGTGTCCAGAGAACCCAATGAACATCATGAAATACCAAAACGACAAAGAGGTAAAACATTCAAATCTTCAGCTACTTGAGTTACTGCATTATCTCAAGGTTATCACTTTTGGTTTTTGTTTTAGTGCAGGTAATGGATGTGTTCAACAAGATATCGGAGCTCTTCCCAGGAATGACGGGTTGATACAAAGCTCACGTCTTATGGTTTGATCTCCACTGGATCAAATCTCATGTCTTTCTTTACCTTTGTAGGAACATACAAAAACATGTTTGCTATCACAAAGATGCTTCAGTTTTGCTCAGACCAGAGAGACACATATATTGGCTACATCTCTATATATCGAAATAACAGTTTGTATCTTTGTAAACGCAGTCGCGAATTCGTTTCGTTTAAGAACCTTACTGGCTACATCTCTATATATCGAGATAACAGTTTGATATTTAATCTTCATTAGAAGTTTTCCTTTAACATTTATTGAACATATCAAGAATTATTTTAACCATACTATCCATTCATAGTAAAACACATTCCAAAAATTTAATCAAAATTATGAAAACTTAAAAGAGAAACTCCTCAAAAAAACAATGGATCTAACTTGGTGACGAGTATAGAAACGAATAGGGAAAAACGTATATTATAGGAATAAAAAGAAAAATTATTCCATATCAATTTTGGTGAAAAATAAATTTATTCTATAATCCTCTAGAATAAAAAAAATGAAAAAGAATAGATTGGAAAAACTATTCATTGTAAATGGTAAAATAAATTAGGAAGAGTAAGGAATGCATTATTCTCTTTCATTCCTTGGTCATCAGTTAGATCCAACATTTTCATTAGAAATATTAGATAAATTCATAACAAATAATTATATATATTCATAACAAATCATTCAGATACATAAGTTCATGAAAAAGAAGAAAGATAGACAAAATACAAAGCAGATAAATGCCTAAGAAGACTTCCGAAGAGTTAAAGAAAACTTCTGAAAACTTACCAAAAAATTACAAAAGACTTATGAAGACTTGCCGAAAAGTTACAGAAGACTTATAGAGACTTACCGAAGAGTTACAGAAGACTTCTGAAGACGTACTGAAGAGTTACAAAAACTAATTTTTTTATGTTTCTAACCCCCGCAAGTATTCTATCCAGACGACTTTCAAATATGCTGTCGTCTAGTATAGTTCTTCTTAAAAATAATTTCATTTTTCGTAAAAATACTTTTATAAGTGAAAAATTGAAATCATGTAATTAACATATGTTTTAAGAGATGTAAATTAAGATATAA